CCCTCAAAATGTCGGGGGTCCCTGTAGTCTGGGTAATTAAGACAGGAACATGATTCTCAAGACGATTTCAAAATATTGGTTTGACGGTGTTTTTAAAGACTTCTTTTAAAAGTCGTCTCTCTTATTAAATGGTTTTTCTCTAAGCAAACTCTCTTTTAAACCCTTTGACTGTTTCGGTCCTTTAACGTATACGTCTTTCGGCCCTGTGTTTGACTAAATACGCATTAATTTAGAGGCTTCAAATAAGCAGGAGAAAGTGGTAGGCCCCCATGTGAGAGAATGGGTCTCCCTGGTCAGTGTGCACCAAAAAAAAAAATCGGGAGCCAGGGTGCTTGTGGGGAAAGCCCTTTTAGTAGTCTTTGTTCAGCTGCCCAGAGAAAAAATTGTGATCGCAGCAAATTTCCCCAAGTGTGTCAAAAACTGGAAGTGTCAGTGAAGATCAGTTTATGGTTTTGAGGGGTTTGTGACCAAAAACAATGCCAGGGGACCAGAAGAATGAAGGAGAAAGGGAAGAGAATGAGGGGGGGGAATGAAGGGAAAGATAATTTGAAAGAAATTTTGGGGAGGAAAACGGCATCCCACCTCTTGTTTTTTACAGGGGGTAGGGAAGGATAATAGACAAAAGTATTTTGCAGCTGCCGACCCTGACTCAGAACAATTAAACGCCGCACGCACGCACGCGGGCCCTCCGGGGCACACACACCCCACACACACCACAACAACACACACCACAACACACCCCACACACACACACACACCACACAACACACAACAAAAATTGCTTTGCTGAAAATAATACATTTAAAAGAAAATATCCGAAATTTTTTATGTGTATATATTTATAGAAAACCAGAAGGAAAGGGAAAAAAGGGAAAGGGAGGAAGATGAAAGGAAGGAAAAAGGGAAAGGAGGAAAGGAAAAAAGAAGGAAGGGAAGGGAAAGGGTGTAGGGAAAGGAAGGGAGGAAAGGATGCAGGAAGGTTGGGAAGGAAGGAATATGACACACCTTTTTCCCAGGAAAGGGGGGAGGGGGGTTCCCCGAAAAGGTTGGGGAGAGGGGGGTAAAGGAAATGTTGTGGGCGAGGGGTTTGGGGATTCCAGCAAGCGGCATGAGGGGTTAGATAGGAGTGAATGGGGCAAATGGTATTTGGGACCTGCGACTGTTGGATGTGAGCCCGGGTATTATTTAGTGAAGGGATTCAGGAAACTGGTTTTTTTATAAACCAACTTGGTCATGGGAAAGGGGAAAGGGAATGCCTCACTCTAAAGGAGGGGGTTTGGGATATTGGGAGTTTGGAGAGTTATTTTGATTTTTTACGTAAACTTCAACCTGTTGCATTTGGGCACCTCTGCAAAAAAAGTGATTATTGTGGTGGGTAATGTTTGAAAGAGAAAGATTTTCTTTTGGGGGTTTTCTTTCTCTTTGGTCACCCTGCCCGGTGGGAGCGGCCACTTGTTGAAAAAAAAAAAAAAAAAAACCTAACAAAGTGCCTGCTAATCTTCGAAGAAAAGCCAGATGAGGGGTTTTGGTTTGCACATAAAAAAAAAAAACCTACAAAAAGCCCACAATATTTTATGGTGAGGGGTAAAACACCATTGTGGAACTCTTTGAAAAAATGTTTCAAAGAGTTCCACAAGCTGCAGAACTTTTAGGAACTGTCCAGTGACTGTACTTTGTATCATGATATAATTTTTAAAACAATAGTAATAAAATTTTTTGTATTGTTTGTGTAAACATTTGAAATTATGTTTTTGCGCTTTTTGTGTTGTATAAACGAGTGTATTTGTACTTGCACCCCTTTCTTTGGATCACAGGCCAGAAGTTACCTTAAAAAAAAAAAAAAGTGAAAAAAAACAAGAAAAATTTTGGGAAAGCAAGTAAAAACCCAAAATTTTCCCGGGGGGTGGCATTCGCCCCTGTTGCCATACATGGCTCTTTTTTTGCCAAAATTTTCGCCTCTAATTCATAAGTATGATCGCAGAAAGTTTTTTTTTGGGCTTAAAAAAAATCGAAAATTTGGGGTTGGACAGTCAAAGGGGGGAATGAGTAAATTGCCCTAATCTCTTTCTCATGATTAAATGCTGTTGTTAAAAGGCCCAAAAATTCTTATTTTTGTTTTAACACCATTTTAGCAGTATCATATCATTCAAAGGGAACAACAGGTGCATCATTTTTCAATGTTTAGCATTTTTTCAGTGTCATCTTTCCCGTAAAATCCATTGCACACAGCAAGATCTTCATTTTTTTGCCTTTGCAGGTTTTTCCCATTTTTCTTTTGGGTTTTTTGGGTTTTCATGTCGCTATAACACCATTTTCTTCAGTAAAACTTGCGCACCACGATCAAGCTTCTGCAATAGCTTTCTGCGTTTGAAAGTCAGATGCTTCCCTTTTTTTTTTCCACTGTTCCCATAGGGGTATTGAGCTCTTCATGACATTTTCACAGTGAAATTAAAAAGTCACAAAAAAAAAAGCAAAACAAAATACGGGCTCCCCCAACTTTTCGTTTCATTTCCGGGCTTCAACATTCGCGAATTCCCAAAAATCCCAAAATTCCAGCCTCCCAAAATTTCCCCGCCGCCAAATCTATCAAATTTCCCGCCCCCTGCGAGTCCCCATACCTTCCCCTTTACCCCCCCAAATGGCAGCCAGCCCTCCACCAGTGGGCGAGTGTTTTGTTTTTTCATTTTTTCTATTAATACAGTAAAATAATGTAAACCATTCATGACGCAATTGGAATGGTTTCGGACAGTTTTTGGATGGGACATCATGTGTTTACTCTGGCACAGCAAAGAAACAAAAAATTTCGCTATGCTAATAAAAACAATAGTAATAAAAAAAATAGTAATAATAAAAATAATAATAAAAATAAATACGAAAAAATTAAAGAAGGAAATTGTACAAAAAAACGAGGAGTGGTTGACACATTTCGTGTGGCTTTGTTTATGCTGGGAAAATGAGATTAGTCTCCGTGCTTTCCAAAAAATTTACAATAGTTCACTGTGTATTTTGGGGCTTGTAGACTGAGGTGACTGGGTGGTAGAGGCAGTGGTTTTAGGAAGCAGTTGAGGCAGTGGGTGAAGCAGTGGTAGAGGCCATGGTAGAGGCCATGGTAGAGGCCATGGTAGAGGCCATGGTAGAGGCCATGGTAGAGGCCATGGTAGAGGCCATGGTAGAGGCCATGGTAGAGGCCATGGTAGAGGCCATGGTAGAGGCCATGGTAGAGGCCATGGTAGAGGCCATGGTAGAGGCCATGGTAGAGGCCATGTAGAGGCCATGGTAGAGGCAGCGGTTGAGGCAGCGGTTGAGGCAGCGGTTGAGGCAGCGGTTGAGGCAGCGGTTGAGGCAGCGGTTGAGGCAGCGGTTGAGGCAGCGGTTGAGGCAGCGGTTGAGACAGCGGTTGAGACAGTGGTTGAGGCAGTGGTATTTAATAACATACTTGTTATTAATAATAATAATAATAATAATAATACAATAATAATATGTTATTAATATGTACTATTATTATTTATAATATATATGTTATTAAATACCACTGCCTCAACTGCTGCCTCTACCATCGCCTCAACCGCTGCCTAAACCGCTGCCTCTACCATTGCCTCACCCACTGCCT